GGTGCGTTTCCATTCCGCCGCCTTCGGCAGGCAGGACTCCGGGCTTTCCTCGGGGTCTGCCACAGTCTCCCGGAGTCAGCCCCCTCGAAACGCATTTGCAAGGGGACTGGCAAGTGCCTGCGGACCTCCTGGTTTTGTATCATTAGAAAAAAACAATAACACACTTGAGTAATCTCAGCCAGATGATTTAAACTCACTTTAAATACCAGAATACCAGCAGCCATGCTAACAGGCCACTGCTACACAAACTTGATGTTTTGCCTCCTAAGGAAAAAAATACTGAAAACAAACATTGTTGAGGCCTAATTCCAGCATAAAAAGGAAGGAAAATTGAAGGGCTGGGTTTTCAAACACCCACGCTGGCAGCTACCAAACTCTCAACAGCATTTTCCATGTGGAAGCTTTTGCTGTTCTGCACATTTTTGGGTGCTTCAGAGGGATGCGGCGAGGGGGGCTGCCGAGCCACATCAAACCCTGGCCCTGGCTTTGGGCACTGCAGCCAGGCAGAGCAAGCTCCAAAAGGCATCAGTCAAAAAGTCTGTGTGGCTCAGCTGTGAGCAATACCTTCATTCCCCAGCAGCACCTGGCAGCCTACAAGTCCCCTGTTTACCAAGGGACTGGTCATTTTTCTCCATCTCCTCTGCATCAAGGACCATGTCTAAGCAGGTCCACCCAAAGATCCCTCTCCAGGAAATGCCACCGCTCCAACAGCACTCCGGAGTACAGCAGCACGCCAAGCCAAATGGAAGAGAAAAGCTCCATCCCCAAAACGCACCACATCCCACTCTTCACTCTCTTAAGCCCCCCCAGGGCAACCACTTCAATCAGGACAACACAGCAAACAGCACTGTTACTAAAACAAGAACATAAGGTCTGCAAACAGGCATGTACCTGAGCGAGTAGTCCAGCGTCATGCCTGTGAAGTCAAAAAACTTAAGGTATTCTTCGGCCACAAGCTTGCTGAATTCGTTGCTTTAAACAAACAAATAAATAAGTAAAAGTTATCATTCGAGAGTGAACCCCTCCAGAACCAGCAAGAAGAACAACGTGGCCAAAGGCCTCATATCAGCACATACTTTTTACCCAAATGCTTTGCCACGTCGGAGCGTTTGAATCTGTCCAGATGGTAGAGGCGCTTAGCCAGGCGCCTGGCTGCTTCCAAATTGCTGCCGCTGCCATTGCTGAGATCGTGGCCAAGGGCTCCGGGGGCATCTTTCTCCTGAAGTTCATTGCTTCCCATGGCAGCACGGGAGTCTAACACCATATTCTGCAGTTCAGCATTGCTATGAGACAGAAACAATATGGGAAGAAGAAAAGTAAGATGACATTACAGTCTCAAGAAGGATTTCATTCCTCTTAGAATAGAAGGCAATTAATGGTAGAGAGGGAAGATTACACAATATAGCAAATTCCACTTAATTGAAGGAGCTGTGTAGAACAGGGACATTTATTTAGCAGTCATCAGAGGTTAAGAGAGTTAAACACGGAGACCCCAATATGGGCTTTCCAGCCCAGAAACACATTCTGCAATGCACTCACCTTCTGAGTGTGCTGAGTGTCCTCAATTCGTGCTCACTTCACGGAGAGCTGTTTGCTATTATCAGCCTACAACTGCACCTGACAACACTGGCTCCTCATTTGCTTCTTGCACTAGTACTTTTTAACCCAATCGCTTGCTTGGCTTGAAAGGGTCCCTGTAAAAGTAGGCCATTAGCCATTTTCCAGGGCAAAATGCAGCGAGCAAGACAGGGTGTTCAGTAGCTCTAAGCTGACTCGGCACAAGTCCCTTCCTCATTCTTCTCCAGTTGTCCTGGAAACAATACAACTCCCCAAATCTAAAATAACATCCGCAGAAGTCTCAGCAGCTTCCGTGCCGCCCATGAGCAGTGGGCATCCCACGGGGAGGCACCACTAGAAAAAGCAGGACTTGGGAGCAAGGAACCCAGTTTGGGGAACGGGAGAGAGACACAAGCCACCCAGGCCAGCCTGGAGAATTGCTTGCTTTCCTCCCGCTCCCTCGTGGTGGCAATAACTTCCCTCACCGGCTGCTCAAAGTCAGGATCTTCAGCATGGCAATCCCAGGGCACTTTACATAAATCATGCATTTATAGATTCCTCCCACCTCTACTACAGCAGGAAAGCTCTGGCTGAGCTGTGTGCCTGCTTTGCTTCTCCCCTCAAAGAAGCAAGAGCCCTCCACACCAGAAAGAGCACCCCCACATACACACCCCTGCACACCGGCAGGCTTTTAACTTTGGAAAAGCTTTTCTCTGACACTGGCATGAAAATTCTTGCAAAATCTCAGCTCTGTGTGCGTATGCGTGTGTGTGTGTGTGACAGCATTTCTATTTAAAAAAAATACTATACAGAAATTCTTTCCACTAAATCCTCGTTTACACAGGGCTAATGAACGATCAGCAGGGGTCATGCGCAGGGCAGATATGAGTGGAATGAGTTAATGATGATTTTAAACACAACGCTTCAACATACCACGGTTTCATACACCACCATAATCTTCGGGCTTGACAAACCACGGTTAGAACAACTGATCGCTCTGCTCCAGTAACCATTATCTAGCCATTTACTGAAATGTCTGCTAGCCACTTATTAACCCTTTAACGATGAGATTTTCATATAATGTGAGCTTAAACTAAAAATCTTTGCTATTCTGCATGCCTCCTTCCACGCAAATCATCACCTGTGCCCTACCTCTCTTCCCATGCATGGTTTAACAGAAGGAGGTGTGCGGTGCCCCTATGAGGAGACTTGCCCATTTAACCTCTATTTCCATCCTCCTAATGCTGCTAGAACATGAAAAGCATCACACATCCACACTGTGGGTACAGCTTTTTTTATCAAGTATCTGGGGAAAACAGACATCTAACCTCTGCCTACAAGCACTGGGGATTTGATTTTGCATTTATTTCAGTGTGAATAATAAGGTGCTATAACAAAAGGGGCACAGTCTCAGTGCTCTAGTAGGGAATTAATACTGTAAATACAATTCCGACAGCATTAACATCGCTGACCACCAGCTACCCTAGAAAACAAAAAAGCCCCTCCTGATACCGTTGTTGTGGGAAATGCGTCCTCAGCCCTTTCCAAAAGCACTAGCCAATGTCCGAAATGCTCTAAATTTGGTCTACTCCAAACTTGTGAAGAAAGCAAATTCCGGAATCCTCTGACACCCCAAGCAACGCCCTGTCCATTCAAGCCAGGCACGACTGGTTTCAAACTCCCAGCTCTAACAATTGACAAGAGCAAAGAATAACCAGGTGAGCTAACCCATCTACGGAGCCTTCCACATACAAATGCTGCTTCGAAAGCCATGCCAACTTGCAGAGCCTCGCTCATAAATCACAGCCCTGTTTCACCACTGCTCTTTATTAAAGGCAATATTTATAGCCCTGAAAGATGGCCAAAGCTGACAAGAAACATCTGCACCCTGCTAGGAACCAGTGCACTACGAGAGTCAATGTTACCGCAAACCACCATAAGTTTAGAAAGAAAGGAAGTGCCAGCGTCGGCCACTTAGTGAAATAAACAGTACGGCAGCTCCCAGCTTCTGTTTTGCCTCTCAGAGCAGCGGCTGGGATGTGAAGGAGGAACACCCAGCAAGGAGGAGAGCATGCTCTTTCCCCTGCTTGCCAAAACTAGCCGATGGGGCTGCATAAGAAACCTGATTTAAAACTTCATCCTGACAGGGGGTCCCCGTATATGTACCAGGTCAAAGAATAAGGGATGCTTCCTTCAGTTACTCCGATAGTTAATTAGCTTATTACTTAATAAGTACAAGAAGGCAATCAAATCAACAATATAGGTTGTCTGCAACATAAGCCTCTTGTTAAGGGAAAATGCCAGGTCGTTAACATTAAGGTGAGACTTCAGTTCTCAAGTTTTTTAGGCGGTGAGAAGACTCTGCCCACGTCACTGAAGGCTTAGGAAATACAGATGCCTTGTGCATAACTACTGCAAGCTGCCTTCTGGACAGGTCATTTTAGCTAGGTCTGGGGGGTGTTACTCAGGGGAAAGGTTGACATCTCTTCTTACCTCCAAGTCTTTCTGGGTGCACCATTTTCCTTCCGTGCGTCAGTTTCCCCAGCTGCTGAACACAGACAGTAATACTTGCCTCCCTCTGTAAAGTGCTTATAATGGACTAATCAAGGGCTAGGAGTGACCAAGGCCGCAAATAGGTCTGTCTTCTGCAATCTATAGTTTATATACACATGAAGAGTCCACAGCAGCATTACCAGCTAAACAGAGCCAAGAAAGGGCTTTGTGATGAGGGCAAGACTGGACATGGATTTCTCATGCAGCTTTACTCTTTATCACATAAAAATGAGAAACCTGCACTGACAAGAGTAGCCTGAAAATGTAATAGATTATATTCCCCCTAATCCTGCATCCAAGGCCAAAAGGGACTGTAATGATAATTGCCTGTACAGCAAAGGCTGCTGATTTTCATCCAGAGACTCATACATTAATCTCTGCTATCAGAAAACACAGAAGCTACAAAAAACCAGACCCCTTTGGTCTCACAGTGCATGAGCTGTGGCTAGAAACCAGGTCCTTAGACCTTCTCATTTCTGTCCCCAGCAACGCACTCCTGACACATCCTCCCTCCTTCTGCCAAAGCATCCCCAGGCCCACAGTGAATGCACAGAGGCTGTGACCACCACATCCAGCAGAAATTACAGCAATTCGATAAACAGCTGCTATGGTAAATTCAATACCTTCTAAGAGCAGCGGCCGCCCCTCCACACTCACGGACAGACTGTAACATCTGTAAAGCTGGTTTCCCATAACACACCGTAACAGCTAGGCAAAGTCTGAAACATTTTATACTGTTTTCTCCACTTATTCCATTATCGACCAGGTCTATAGTGATTTAGCTCCCAATGCCAAGCCATCTCAATCGTGTCGTGCTCAGCACTTAGCACACTTGATCTGTTTAAGAATATTCTAGATTCACTTACTCCCCCCCCGCCCCCATCCTGGGTTTCACCAAAATTGAAACTCTCCGCAGCAACACATGGTTGGGGAATGGCTGCAACTTCCAGAGCAAGGCCAGTAACATAATGGTAAGGATACAGGCACCTCATTTCTCAGTGTTCCACTCTCCCAGTCTACTACGCTGCAACTGGAAACCTCGGCATGAGTACCTGCAGTTTCAGATGCCTTAAATCTTGGGATGCTCTTCATTTTTTAGCAAATCCATGGGGAAAAAATTATCTGTTTTATCCCAAGGAAGAAAAGGATGTTAGCATTTTGCTTTATGGAAGAAGAGCTCAGATCCAGCATGGAACAACTGCCCCAGTTGCTAACAAGGGGAAGATGTTCAGAGCTGACACTGAGTGCGAGGGTGTGACAACTCAGCCTAAGTGCTGTCCTCAGCCCAGCCACGTCAGCGATCCCAGCTTGCCGCTGCCTGCAGCTCTTGCCGGACTGAAGCATGGTGTATGCTTTGTGACACACAGTCTCCCCTGGATGCATTCCCCAAAGAACACTAATCCATCCGGCATGCACGTCTGGAGGGAGTGCGCTGGACACACCAATTTCAGGGGGAGCTTGGATGAGACAGGGCTGGGACCTTCCCAGGTCTTTTTGGAAAGAGAGGAGAAGGAAACAGGAGGAAAACCAACTTTTTCTCTCAAATAAATCTGTGCGCCTTTAACATCAGCTTTACTTCAAAGCAGGCTAAGTCAGGCATTTGCCAGCAAAGTCCATCAGAGCAAAACGCAGCAATGATTAAAAATAAGGAAGGGTGGAGAGGCGTTCTGGCGCACTGAAGCTAGGGCCAGAACAAATGTTGTTTTCAGCAGGGGTACAGCATCTACCAGGGAGCCATGCTGGGGCTGATAATCACCCTCTGCACACTGTGCTGGCCCTGTTGTTTTAAATGCCTTCACTCCGAGCCGCCTTCTCCGCCTGGTTCCGAAACAGAGGACACCATCCCCTCAAACATAACCACCAACTCTGGCTGTGAAAAGCGCACTCTATTTCTAATTCAACAGCCCCTCAGCAGCAGCTCTCACCTCGCAGCGTGGCAGGGACTTCAGAAAGGCAGAAGCACTCGGATGCCCCTGACACCAGCCTGGACTGCGGGGGGGGAGCAGACTTCCTTCTGCAAAAAGTCCTGCCCTGAGGGAGCGAATACCTGCCCTACAACCCTTCAGAGAGATGTGGATGCTCAGCCAGTGATACCCTTCCACATTTCAGAGCCGACCAGAAACGATCGGTGGCACAGGCTGAATTTTGTTTCGAGGGAGCTGAAAAGCCATGC